AGGAGGGGGGGGGGGGGGGGGAGTAAAGGGGGCCAGATTGTAATTTCAGAGGAGGGGGGGGGGGGGGGGGAGTTGCAGGCGGTGTCTAGTTACTCACCATGTGGGAAAGAGAGGATGGGGTGGAAGCCGGAGTCCAGCAGAGCGATCCGTTCCTCCAAGGACATGGCCTCCGGGTCGAGGGCCGGCAGCGAGGCCTTGAAGTCGCACAAAATGCAGGAGTTGGGCTGCTCACAGGTGCACTTCAGGCTGAGAGGCTTCGGTGGCTGCAGGGCAAGAGAGGACTCAGTGATAACGACATCGACAACAATGTCAATAATCTGAACAGCTCTTAGGTCCCCTGGGTCTAGGACTGGAAAGGGGGGTTTCATCACTGGAGGCTTCGTAGAAAACCGACAACCGGTTGTCTGAAACGGCTGAGGGTCTCCCCACTAGAGCAGGGGATTGGACTACAGGACATCTCAGGTCCCTTCCGACTCTGTCGTTCTATGATTCTGTAAGGGTCTCCTCTCGAGCAGGGGGTTCGACTAGAAGACCTCCAAGGTGCCTTCTGACTCTGTTATACAGAGGAAAAGGAAGGGAAGGAGGAAGACTGTGGGGTCCTTGGTGCTCTATGAGTTTGGTGGTTTTCTTGCAGATGTTTCATGACCCAACTAGGGAACATCATCAGTGATGGGACGAGGAGGAGGATTATTGAGGAGGGTCCTTGGTGCTGTCTGAGCTTGCTGGTTTTCTTTTAGATGTTTCACAAACCAATTAGGGAACAGCAGGAGGGCTACAAGAAAGGGGAGTTTGGAGAGAGCATGCGAGCGAGACGGACAGACAGACAGAGAGAGAGGAGGAGGGGGAGGAATACCGGGTTCTTCATGCTCTCTGAGCTGGGTGGTTGTTTTTTTTTTAATAGGACTGAAACTAGGCAACATCATCATCACTAACACTGATGATGTTCTTTAGCTGGGTCATGAAACGTCTCCAAGAAAATCACCCAGCCCAGAGAAATGTCTGCATCGACTTCACCTTCAGCCTTACCTTTCGGTTCAGGTGAGCGATGGAGTTGATTCTCACCAGCCGGCGCTTCTTGTACCTGCAGATGGGACGGATCCGGGCCGCCACGCAGCTGTTGTCCAGGGCCGAGGCCATGCCGGGCAGGCTGTGGTTTGCTGGTGTGGGCTTCTTGAGGTGCCGGTCGGCAGTCAGGCCTTCTGCAGAGCTGCCACTGGTGGCACAGGAGCTCAAGCTGCGAGGGTCAAAGAGAAGAAACGGTCCCGCTGGAGAAATATTCCAGACACAACGGGGATGTTGTTGTGTAGGAAGGAATGACAATCTTCCTGCACAGAATCCTTGCAAAAGAAATCAGCAGGAAGTGAGTAGCGCAACTATAAGGGGTCCTTGAGTTATGACCGTTCAAAGATGCGACGTGTCCCCATGTCATTGTGTGACTGCATTGGGGGCCCCCCGTCATCGGCCTTTGTATACATTTTATTGGAAAGTAGATCTTGGTTTCTTACAGTCAGTGACAAATGTACCAGGGAACATCACTGCTACGTAGCAAGAAAGAAGAATAAAAGAAAGAACGAAAGAACGGATGAAAGAAAGAGGGGGAGGAAGAAAAGAAGAAAGAAAAGGAAATGAAGGGAGTGGGAAAGAAAGAGAAAATAAAAGAAAATAAATAAATAAATAAATAGGGTAATATGGAGTTTCTCCTGGATTCATGACCACAGGTGGTGGTCGTGGCCTTTGCGCAACTGCAGGTTGTGTGCCAGTTATGCCCTTTTCTGGACAAACAATCTCTACTCACGGTCACTCATGGCCTAGTCACTTCCCGTCTTGACTATTGCAACATGCTCTACGTGGGGCTGCCCTTGAAGAGCATCCAGAAGCTCCAGGTTGTGCAAAATGCAGCAGCCTGCATGGTTTTGTGCAGAGCCCAGTATGCACCTGTCACCTCTCCTGAGGGAGCTGCATTGGTTGCCAATTTGCTTCCAGGTGCAATTCAAGGGGCTGGTTGTCACTTTTAAAGCCCTTCATGGCTTGGGACAAAGTGATCTGAGGGACCATCTCTTGCCGGTCATATCTACCCAACCCATCAGAGTGGGGAGGCAGGGAGCGCTGTGGGTCCCATCCCCAAGGGAGATACACCTGGTGGGACCCAGAAGAAGGGCCATCTCCTTGGTGGCCCCCCTCTCTCTGGAACATCATCCCCCCCCAGAGATTAGAAAGGCCCCCACTCTTAATACTCTTCTGGAAGGTGCTGAAGACCTGGTCCTGCCAGCAGGCGTGGGGAACCCAGAGCGGGAGGGAGCCCATTAAATGGCTTGTGCGGTCTGCTAGCGTCTTATTCTATATGACACCTTGAGTCGCCATGGGTGAATAGGCGGATAGATACATAGATAGATAGACAGACTGACAGACAGATAGAAGAGGGGGGGAGGCCGGGAGAGAGGAAGGAAGAAAAGGAAGAGGAAGCAAGGGAGAGAGGGAGAGAAAGAGAGAAAGAGAGAAAGAGAGAGAGAAAGAAAGAAAGGAAGGAAGAAAGAAAGAAAGAAAGAGGGAGGGAGGGGAGAGGCAAGGAGGAAGAATAGGGATAATGGAAGTAAAGAAGGAGAGGAAGGAACAAAGAGAGGAGGAGGAAGGAACAAAGAG